TAACGTAACGTTAGGTTCGTAGTTGTTGTTCCGTTCGTTAGTTTTAGTTTATTAATTACTACTTTACTTAGTACGTACTGTTTAGTTGTATTTTGTTCTCTCTCTCTCTCTCTCTCTCTCTCTCTCTCTCTCTCTCGCTCTCTCTTTCTCTCTCTCTCTCTCGCTCTCTCTTTCTCTCTCTCTCTATTGGCGATTTCTTTATGTGGTCAATAAGGTGAGAGCTCTACTGTTGCAGGTTTATGTGGATGGTACAACAACCATGTCGACACATGAAAGAAAGGCAAGCATTAGAGAATTTTATGGTAAGTCATTAATAGAACACTGAAGTTTATTGCAACTCAAGCGCATGGGAGTGGGCGTTTTCCCTTCTTACTGATGATTAAGGTTTTGTTGATGGGCAGCTGTGATATTTCCTTCTTTAATGCAATTACAAAGAGGGATCACAGACACAGAAGACAGGAAGCAGAAGGCGGCCTGTATGGAGAGATATCGGAGGAGAGATGATGAAGAACGAAGGCATCTTTCTGAGGTAGACATAGAGAGGGAAGAAGAATGTGGAATTTGCATGGAGTTGAGTAGCAAGATTGCATTACCTACTTGCGGCCATGCAATGTGCATGAAGTGCTTTCGTGAATGGTATCTCTCTCCCCCTCTCTCAAAAGATACATGCTTGTTGGCTAGTGGTCAAGTTTATTACGAGGACCAGATGCATGTATGTGCAGTTTCCTATCAAGATGAACACCAAATCTCAGGATTTTGGCAGATCAGCATTGAGATCATTAGATGGATAGAGAAAGTGAAAGAGTTAATGCGCATAAGGAGAATTCCATAACCTAATGGGGGGGGGTTTATGTGTTCAAGAGATATAAATGGAGAGAGAGAGAGAGACAGAAAATAAGAGAATACTTGAATTTGATGGATTCTTTTGCATTTGCAGGCATGCAAGGTCCCAGTCATGCCCATTCTGCCGAGACAGCCTCAAGAGAGTAAACTCCGAGGACCTTTGGATTTTGACAGACACCAGAGAGATTGTGGATATGGCTACCCTAACAAGAGAGAACTTGAGGAGGCTCTTCATGTACATAGATAAGTTGCCCCTCATTGTCCCCGAATCCGTTTTCGACACCTATGATTCTCATTTAAAATGAGTGACCCTCGAAATTATAGGTGCTTCTTCCCATGTCATATGATGATCTTCAATTCCTTTCATGTTGCAGTTGATATCTGAATATTAGTGATTCCTGCATTCTTCAGAGTCAAGGAAGACAACAAAACAGTAGTTATAATATCTTTGCGAAAGTGTGAGCTCTGTAAATTCTAGTTGGGACCATGTAAAGGTTTGTACAGTCTAACTCTTTGTCCATAATGTGGTGCACATGTAGATATTAATGGTTGATTCCCCCTGTGACCTACTCTCTCTCACGCGCACCCATTAATGCTTGATTCCCCCTCTGACTTTCTCTCTCTCTCTTTATATTTTGAAACTTTCATTGCACTGTCCATAATATCAATATCGAGCAGCGGATCCAAGTTTCTGATTTCAGTATTTACCGGAATCTAAGTTCCGGGCACCAAAAAAGTTGGGGTGTGTGGTTTATATCTTTGTATTATTTAGTTTCTCGTATCGACACATAGACATTTGGGGCATCTATTTCCATTTTCTTATTGCTAAAGTGTACTCAAGAAACTGTAAATGCCATCGTTTCTTGTAATGTGTTTCCTCGTAATAGATTTCAGGTATTCAAACGTTAAATTTATTTGCTTGTAATCTGTTTCCTCGTAATAGATTTCAATTACGATTTCAAGTATCCAAACGGTCCCTTGGATACCATGTTAGGTACTTATGAACCCATGACACTTATCCCATATGCATGTAGTCGACTATGACACCAATCACAAACATATGTAAACCTGTCTGAGATTTGGGCCAACACATATGACACTTCGGCGTGTATCGGATTCTGACACCCATCTATGGTTTCTGCCTTAAACATTCGAAAAAAAAACTTTGAGGTTTCTAGTTATGTTGTATGGACACAAGTACAAACCTATGGTGCATGGATACAAGTACATGAATTAGTGTCAGACACGCATACTGAGCGTCGAATTCTTTGTGCCATGAAAAAAAGGATTCAGCAACCGACAATGTTAGGAAGAGGCAACAAATTTGACAACGTTTTACTAATGTTCCATTTTATGACGAGTGACAGAGCAATTATGCCTTTTAACTAATTGAATCCATGAATACTGTTCAAAGTTCTTATGGGTGTCCTTGGGAAAGAAAAAGAAACTCCAAAAGATACAATCAATTTTTAGTAAGCAAGAAGAAAATTCCAGAAAAATATGCATCTGTATGTCTTATCAATATATTTCCAGAAAAACATGCATCATTTCCAATATGGATATGGCACCTAAGGAGAGGAATTTATATAACAGATGTTTTTCTGATCCCTAAGCAGATGAATCCATGTAAGAATTATGTTTCTGAAACTTGGAATATGACCAAATTATGTTACCCGGTTTTTTAACTGATTTAGAGTGTGATTTTTATTCTGTAGCGACAGAATTGTCTTTTCTTTTCTTTTTTAATGTTAACGAAAAGATCCATTAATCTTAATAAGAAATTACAATTAGAGTACAGTTAAGGAACTGTCTATTTCCCTCCAATTCTCAAATTTTACCAAATAAATCTCTGATTTGGAGTGATTGTAATATGCCTAAATTCTTTTGAAATGGATATGTTGTGCCTAAGTCTAGTGAATAACATCCTTGCTGTAATGTCACCTTGATACCTTGATTTCCATAAGCAAATTGGCAATTGTTGAGCACACATTTATGATACCCAATTTACTGAAATTGTTGTGAACCTTTTATGTTGTTAATCTTGTCAACCCCATCTCCAAATCCCACCCTATAAAGCACCTCTCTCCTCCACTCTCTCTCATCTCCACTCTCTCTCTCAATGTTGTCAACCTCATCTCCTATCTTTCTCTCTCCAAATCCCACTCTATAAAGCAATCTCTCTCATCTCCACTCCCTCAATGATGTCAACCTCATCTCCTATCTTTCTCTCTCCAAATCCCACTCTATAAAGCAATCTCTCTCATCTCCACTCTCTCTCAATGATGTCAACCTCATCTCCAATCTTTCTCTCTCATGTCACTTTGCAAGATGCTTGTAGAATCTTGATTGATTTTTTTTCCTTTTCTTTTTTTTTTCTAAGGAGAGACTCTTTATTTCACGAGACCTTGCAAGAAGCCTGAATCAGTTTTTGTAAAATCGAACCGGAACGGTTAATCGGACAGGGGCCCGAAAGCGGTTTAACCGGCCTGACCGGTAAACCAGCCGATTCAACCGCTCTAATCAGGCAAGTCCTAAGCAGTCAAAAAGTGTTGAAAAAAATGCAAAAAAATAAAATTTACTAAAATATAAAAAACATATAAAGAAGGATTAAAACAAAACACATTCAAATGAAGTTGAAAATTAATGAAAAAATGGATTTTAACGAATCTATTTCTACCTAGGGGTATTTTTAAAATTTTCTTAAAAAGATGGGAAAAAATAAAAGTGAGTATTAATTAACAAAACAATTTTTAATCTTTACCATAATGTAAAGATTATTAAAAAATACATTATAAATCAAATTCCTTATTTTTGGGAATTTATATACATTTTTTTGAATTTTTTTTTTTAAATACGGGTTGATCACCAAAATCGCCCAAAACCGGAACCAGCCAGCGGCCAATTCCGATCTAACAGGGCGATTAGCGGTTAGATCACCCGATTTTGTGAACACTGAGCTGAATTTTGAAAAGGATAAGGTGTTTTTAGAAGGGGAAAGCTTTCTCTGTTCCCCTAAAGTTCTATCCTTCTCCTACCATCCAGCCGTCAATTTTTCATCAAGAGAGCCGCTCACTATTTGATATTAGATCCGACGTCTCAAAGTATTTTATTTTTAGTTTTTTTAATACAATTTTTCTGAATATGAAATTTGGTATGTGTCATCTTCTCATTGGGGCGCACTTATAAAAAATAATGACCAAAATGCCCCTTAAACTTTTAGGGATATTTTAATCATTTTATTTTATTGAAAATATTTTTTTTATATTTTTTGTTGGTGCAAGTTTAATAGAAGAGGTGGAACATTGAAAGCTTTCCCTTTAGAATGAGAGGTTCTTTTTTCATGAGTTAGATTGGCGTGGATCTAGGGTGTGTGAGATAGAGATCAAATTCTCTAGTATCTTCAAAATATCTCTTACAAGAATCTAGATGGCTCTTTCATTTCCCCTTCAAAATCTAGATGAGCTCCCTTTCCCTCTCATCCCTCTATGTGACTTCCATTCCCTTTGAACATTATAAGTCAAGTCCTATATTTCCTCCTTTCATACCTTATATCCGTTCTTAAATTAAGAAAGCTTCAATAAACAGGGTAACTCTCTACAACATTGATGGAAACCCCAAATTAGTTCGAGTCCATTTTTTGATAACAGGATCTAAAGTTTCAATACTTCATTTTATTTTCATTTTTTTTTTTTTAACAATGCAGACCAATACAGTATCCGTTAGAAGTAGTGAAAAACAATAAGGTTGGAAATAGTGAGAAAAGATATAAAATAGATTTAAAATGATATGGTTGGAAGTAGAGAAAAAAGATATGACCTTACATATGGCCTTACTAAAAATATAATCCTTTATAGAGATTGAAGATATAACACACTATGATTAATCCTAAATAGTTAAGAATAGGCTATGACGGTGATGATTTTCATTTTTAAATTTTTCATAATTTATCATATAGAGAATGAAGATATGATTGCTGCCCTTTACATCCTAAAAATCTTCCCAAAATCCTTCATGTCTTAGTTTTTGGAGATTTTGTCAATAATGTAGTTATTGGAGAAGGCATTCTTTTCGGACACTCTTAACATGTATGAGAAGTTTGGTTTTCCATTTCAAGGCAACGTTTTTGAAAAGTAAGTGTCTAAAAGTGTTAAAAGTTATGTATGTTGTGTCCTACGCTTAAAAATATATACGATACGATGTCGTCAGCTTCGCTTCGGAGTCTTCTTCGATTTGTTGAAAAAAATGAAGGTGCTTCGGCCGATTTGGGGAAAGGTTTCGAATTTTTTATTTTTTTAAAATTTAATATAAATAAGTTAGATATTTATATAAAATATATACAAATAATATAAAAAATTGCAAATAATAAAAATAAAAACTTTATATAGCTAATTCTTTGCTGGCCGAAGCATACTTGAAATAGATCTGAAGTATACCCGAATCTTACTAAAGCGTCTCAAATCCGACCGAAGCGACAACCCTTCGCTTCGCTTCGGTTTATGCTTAAAATCCAGAGGCTTCGGCCTCTTCGACCAAAGGGGAGAGGATTTGATATATGCCTAAAATCCGGAGGGTTCCGCCTCTTCGACCAAAGGGAAGAGGATTTAATAACATTGGTACGATACATACGCCTTGGCCTGTATCCACAAGTGCTCGTGTCCATGCTACAACTTTATGTCAACCCAGCAGGTTTTCCATGAAAATTACTTCTATTGACTCAACCTAACAGATACAAGTCACACTTGTGGCGAGCAAGTGTTGGCAGCTTGAACTCCATGGCCAACTCAGGCATACACAACCAGATCAAGATCAAGTTCAACGATAAATCCAGAAAAACAAATGACCAAAGTTTTAAATTTTATAAAAAGCTAGATATTTTGGGTAGGATATTAACCAATGTTGTAAGATTCACTTCGGATTCTTTGGTTTGGTGAGAAAAATGAAGCAATTAGGTGCTTCGGCCGATTCGGGAGAAGATTTCGGAAAAATTTAAAGAAATTTAATATAAATAAATTAGATATTTATATATAAAAATAATGAAGAAATCAAAAATAAAAATTAACAAAAAAATACTTTTATATAAATATTTCTTTGCTAAGCTTTGACCAAATCGACCGAAGCAGACCCAAATCTGACCGAAGTAGCCCAAATCTGACCGAAGCGACATCACCAGTCTTCGTTTCGCTTTGGTCTAGGCCCACGATCCGAAGGCTTCAGCCTGTTCGGCCAAAGCCAAGCGAATTTGACAACACTCGGCCAAAGGCAAGCGAATTTGACAACACTGACCTTAACATGATTTCCTCACAAATCCCACCGAAATGGGGGACAGAGGAAACCAAACAAATTTGGAGAATGAGAGAGAGAGGGAGTGTACACATTACTTGGGAAATAATCTTGGCGTGCACCTTGCAGCCTCCCATCCAAAAAAAAAATGGACCCTCAAAATGCTTTTTGTAGGGAGAAAGAATATAAAAAATTGGCCAAGCTCAAATCTAAAGGACTGCGCTAACCTCTAAAACTCAAACACATAAACTAGGCAATTTTCTCCAAATTTTTGCAATGCAAATGTTTTTCCATAAAAGAATATTCTAAAACATATATTTTTTTCATTATAAAATCTTGCCAGGGGATCGGTATCTAGAACAAGTGAGATTATAAATGGTTGATTTTAATACCTTGGTGGTTTTTTGACAAAGTTCAACCACTTTACCATTCTAGTGACATTTAAAAAAAAGAAAAAAAAAAAGGAAAAATAGCAACAGGGCTAATTGGTTAAGCTAAGGCAAGTAGTACTAGTTTTTCTCTCTTCTCCATGCCTGCAACTTTCTATGCTTCTATAGTGTGGTAATGGGTAAGATATAGATCTTCCACAGAAGACCTAATGGAAACCTAACCACAATGGGGAAACCAGCACATGAATGATTTTTCCTTAATTTACAAAAAAAAAAGGGACCTAACAGTATTTATACATGGAATAAACAACGAAATAAAGGAACTCGATGTTCCTCGGCTACTCAATCAAGGCAATACAAAAGTGCCATGGTACTCGTGATTCCCGCTGTAATTATACAGCCATTTCATCTCTAAACCCCAAAAAGTATAGAAATAATCAGACAGAGAAATGACCAGCTAAAACATAACAGAAATAAATGAAAAAAATAAATAAAAGAAGGAAAAGAAAGAGATCACCTCCTACTCTGTCTTCTTTGCTGCCGGTTTCCTCTTCATCCGGCTGTACGGCCCCACCATTCGGTCCATAATGTACATGTAGATAACCTGACTCCATGATTTATATGAAGAGAATGACTCGTAAAACTCGGGTGCAATCTGCTTCACCTTATGAAGCTTGCTCCCTGGAATTCTTGGAAAATCATGGTGCTCGTTATGGTACCCAACGTTCCAGGTGACCAAATTCAAAGGTCCATAGTAAGAGTAGGTCTCTTGATCAGGTTTAAAAATATAGTGCTCCGATATGAAGTGACCTGCCATAGGGTGCATGCCCCCACCCAAAAATGTAGCCAAAATCAGGTAAGCAAGGGATTTCCAACCACAGAAATAGACTAGAAACAAGTCCAGACTTAGTTGAATGCTGAGGTTGGTGAATTCCCAAAGGCCAGGAGGCTTAGGGTTTAGGAAAAGTGGGCGAAAGGCATAGAAGAAGAGCTGGAATATAACCCAAATGGATTTCGCTATGGGGTTCTGAACGACTTTGGCCTCAACTAAACTTGGAATGTCCATGTCCAGGCCATCTACTCCTTGGTAGCGGTGGTGCTCGAGGTGGTATTTTTGGAAGGTGATGGACATAGGGATCCCTATGGGGAGGTTGGCAAAGATACCTAGCCATCGGTTGTAAGTTGGGGTCGAGAAGGCAAGGTTATGGCTTAGTTCGTGTATTGCGAGGAAGAGGTTATGATTGAGGAAAGAACCGAAGAAGTAGGCGACAATCACTATCTTCATCCAAGAGGAATCGCATAAGGAGAACGCAGTCCATAGCTGAAGCAGGACGACTGCTGTAATCTGGGAAAACACAGTGATAACATGGATTTGGCGTGAGAAAATAGCAACTAAGAAGTGAGAGTTTGATGACATAAGCCTCTCTTGCACTGCACTTTTTTTCTTTTTTTTCTTTAAAGAAAATCTCAATAGTTTGCTATTTTAGATAGTCAACCTACATGCACAGTATTTAGTCTCTACATCTCAGAGGTGTTGCAAAGATTTTACCACCGAGAATACTGAACCAAGTAGTAGCATATAACGACAGACTGAAAATCCCCATCCAAATGCAAAGTGGACATTCTACTAATTTTGATATCTTAAAAACCAAAAGAACATTTCTAGCACTCTTTCAGAGAGATGATCAAGAGTGAGCCTACAGATGAAGGAGCCAGTGATAGGATTTTTAGGTGAGTCCTCTCTGATATAAAAGCTTTTAAACCACTCAACTAGGTGAGCATAAGAACATCATCTCAAACATAAATGTTTAATTATTTTATTGAGTTATTGTTTATTCCCTTGAGATGAAGTATTTTGGGAGGGAGAAAATTAAAAGCTGGCTTTAAATGAGCTTGTAAATGATACAAAATTTTGAGCACTACAGGGAGGTTGAAGACGAGAGGTCCCACAATAAGAAAACCTAGTGTACTAGAAAAAAGAAACTAGGAAATTTTATAGCAAGAGACTAGAGTTTGGGTTTAGAATTAAGTAATCCAAGAGAAGGAAGCCATGTTACTATTTCAACATGAGGTCGCAAAATTTGTGGAGAAGAGATAAAACACAATTATGATGCTAGAAAACCTGCAAATTGATCATGTCAACCTCAACAAAAAAGAAATTGGCTATCAATTCCTAAATATAATCCATCTTGCCTCATGTTTTCTGGATTGTCCGTTTCAAGCCTCGTGGAACAACACCATGTTTTGGTGCTTCAAGTTCCACAGTCAAGGACGAAAATAGATTTGCAGGAGGGTTTTTTGGCACCGGAACTATGTTTTCTTGCAGGCTTTTTGTACTGTGGCTTCACCAATTTTGTAAAGTTGGGACTTACCAAAACCACACCCTCTATAATATGAAACCATGCAAGAGAAATTTACCCATAAAAATTTCCATGATAACTTCCCATGATAGAGACCACTAGAACAATTATTATTCAACATCCACGATAAAAATAAATGAAAACATCTCAACAACAAACAATTAAAAAAATTGACCAAATCACAACATGAGTAAAAATGAAAATACAAGAAAAACCAGAAAATTGAAAATATTTTGATAACAAGAAAAACCCAAAAAAAAATCAAACGGAAGAATAATACCATCTCAACGGAAAAGGGCCTAGAACATCAGAATCCAAACAAACCACACCACAATAGAAGAAGCACTCATCAAATTAGAAACACTACTTGGGATAAAACGTTTCAGAAACAAATGTTAAAGGCGCCAGAGTACAAGGACATCCTAATACAATTGCTTGTTCAAGACTAAAGAAATATGCAAAAATTCCAGGATCAGATCAATCTGCATGATTATAGCGAAAAGGGTAAATGCCCAATTAGTCTAGGCAAATGAAGAGAACAAGTCATTTAGAACAATTTTGAAAGACTACAAATTCTAGAAAACCAAGAGATAAAAATTAGACCAATAGGAAATAAAAGACTGAAAATACACCAAAAAAATGAGAGACACAGAGATCATAACACATCATATACGATTTCCAGTACAAAATCAATGAAACAATCACAAAGCAACAATATGAACCGAAAATACACCCATAACATATCCGATACAATGTCCAGTGAGAAATCACTGAAACAACTTCAAAACAACAATGCGAACTAAAATGCAAAAAAAAAAAAAGGAAGGGAGAAAAAATAGAGCACATAACATATTCTACATGATTTCTACCACAAAATCTATGAAACACTCACAAAACAACAATGTGAACTGAAATACACAGAAAAAAGATAGAAACCAGGAAAAAATTATAGGAGAGGCTCAATGGCAAAAGTCTCAGTAAATTTAACCAGAAAATACAGAGAACATTTAACAATCCTGTACGATTATGACCTCAGAATCGATTAGATATCAGAAAACAACAATGAAAAATTCCACCAAAAATAGAAAGAAAAAAAAAACCATAAAAATTTGGGAACAAGGAAAAGAGAAGGACCTTAGCAAAAGCCCATGGATCTGGGCCGAAGAGCTCCTTGATCTGAGGGTAGAGAGAGATGATCTGACGCCTTCTTGAAGCGTGGGGCTCATCTGTGTAGGACCAGAAGAAATCGGTCGCGATTACCCCCTCTGCTTCTTCCGCCATTGATGAACCTCTCTCTCTCTTTCTTTCTCTAAAGTCTAAACCTCCCTTTCTCTCTCTAAAATAACAGAAAAAGCCCCTACAATTCAAAAGCAGGCAGCGCCACAAAATGGAGAGATCCTAGGGCCGACCCGACCAAAATAAACGGGGATCGAAAATATGACAAGCACGTTCACTATGCTCCCTCGGGAGCATAGTATGCTTCTACTCTCTTGTTAAGATAACCTCTTTGGGAGGACAATGAGACAAGTTATCTTAAGAAAAAGGTAGTTACAATTAATCTTGACCATTTGATGTGAAATTAGATAATTGTACTTATTCTATTGACCAAGCTCAAATTTTAAATGAAATTTTTTCGAATTTTGTAACACGCCCAATCTAGGGGTAAATGGTATCACTATATACCTAACCTAGGGATCACTAGATAATTATTCTAAAAAAGAAAAGTTCTCTAATGGTTAGATCTCACTCTCTAAAAATTGGACCGTTTGTATTCAATCTTAAGACATTATTTTTTTATCTGCTAAGAGGGTGCAATTAGGAATTTTTTATTAAAGTCAATCTACGTGTTATAGAGATCATATCTTCAAAATTTGAGGGTCCAAAAACTAATCTATATGGAGTAAATGGATAGTATACTCTTGAAGGAATAGAATATATCGTGGGATCTTATACACGTTCGAAAAAAAACTAATCAAATCTATCTGTCAACCAAGTTATCAAAAGGGAAATTATCGCTAATATATATTAAATTTAACAAAATTAAAAAAAAAAAACCCAAACTTTTTAAAAGCTCGCTCACACCTTTTTTCTCAATTTTCATGATTTTTTGGATGAAAATACCCTTTTATGATAGTCTTTCTACCGTAATGGCATGATAGAATTACGATACTTTGAGTACTGTAATACTCATTACGATACTTTTAACACCGTAATGCTCCTTAAGATCATTACGATCATAAAAAAACCGTAATGGTCTAAAGTCCACTGGAATGCTCATTAGTACCGTGATGCTCTTTAAGACCATTATGGTCATAAAAAGACCATAATGGTCTAAAGTCCACTGGAATTCCAACGAACTTTAGATTTGTTCCCAAATATTAACACATTTTCAACCATCTAGTTTCAAATTTAATGGTTAAGAGTACAAGTTGTATACATTTCCTTAAAATAAGGTGTGGTTTCGCAACCTGAAACAATCAAAGTAAGGCACACCTTCAAACTGTATCATAAGGATGTCCTAAGAATTTATTTTTATCTCTAAACTCCTAAAATAGCTCAAATCAAGTAAATCTAAATACACATGAAAATATCCGCGTAATATGTTGCAAGATGTACTATTTTGGAGATTTAAAATCATTTTTTTCCAATCTATATATCTTGATTTCAAGATGATCAATTAGATATTTGTCAACGTCAAAATACCCTTTTCGATGATTTTTTAGGGCAGAATAATTCTACGATTTGAAGTGTCAATTTTATATAAACTTTTTTCCTTAATTTTCATATTTTTACAACTTTCTTTTCAATTTCTCCAAAATGCCCCACGTCAATGTAGCTCGATTCAAGTCGGCACTCAAGTGCCCACCTGCATAGAGCTCTAGAGTGTGGGTTGGTGCCCCAAATGCCGACCCCATCTAAAGCTATCGACCTCGATAACTGAGTTTCATTCGTACAAAAGTTCCTGATTTGCTCATTTTCCTCCTCTCGCTCTCTCTCACCCATGGCAAATCTAGAGTGTGGGTCAACACTCCATGTGCTAACCCTACCTAAGCTTCAACAGTGTTGACTAGCACCCTGGAGCCCTATAGCAAATCCGAATGGTGGGTGAGCACACCAAGTGTCAACCTAACTTGAAGCTAAGGTCGGATCGACACTTGGAGGGAAAAGTTTATATAGAGCCGAGGCTCTAGACAATCAAATTTGAGCTTAATTCAAAATTTGATTAAAAGAGGTTGTTTTCATGCCCAAATATCTTTAAATTGATAATCTCGACATCAAGATACATGGACATGAGAAAAAAATGGATTGTAAGTTTTGAAAATAGTGTATTTTGTAACGCATTTTTTAACTGTCAATTTTCAAGATTTTCAAATTTTCATAAATATGTTTTGTGCGCATATTCTCTTTGTTTCCAGAGCCTCTAGTGAGCTACATAAAAAGTTAGAAAATATCAAATATTTGATGATGGCATGATGTATTTGCGAAAACTTCTAACACCACTTGAACTGAATTCTTTTGTAAGCAGGGATATTTAGATCTATGTCCCACCTAGGGACAGGTATGGAGCTTGATGAGCCCGCAGATTCCTAAGGCTATCGGCTCTAATATAATTGAATTAGCAATGCTAGAGAAGCAGCTTAGTTTTTCATCACATTAGGTTGTTCCCCAAGAAGGATTCAACCTCCTTGATGCCTTTTCTGCTCCTTGCTCAAAGATGAAGTTCCATCACTCTAATATCACCCTTTAGCCATCGGCTCCGGTCTGTTCCGTGGAAAAGAGCTTCCTAATAGAGCGCTCGCCTCTTCCAACCTCTCTCCCTAGCAACGTCAAAGCCCTCAGCAACGAGTGCTTTAATGTTGCCTCCACTGGCTTGTTTCGCATAGGACAGACATAAAATCGCTACTTAGAGGGCTGGACTTTACCCGATGGAGCAAATGGACAATCTACTCCCTTAGGAGAAAAGAGTCATTTTACTCTTTAGTAATTTGCTCAATGCCATGTACAAATAAATCACTAAAATGCCCCTACTTGTTCCAATATTGAAAGGATAACTTTTTTTTTTAAATGTTTTTTTTTTTTTAAAGGAGGGTGAGTAAAGTGGTAAGTCAAAAGGGCTTTTTTAACCCTTATCTTTTGATAAGAACAGAGTAAGAGACTTTATCACGAGGCTCCAAAACCACATTCAATTCTGAATTTTGTCAAGAAAATAGAAACACATAGTCCAAATTTGTAAACCCAAGCACAAATAATTTCGTCATTTTAGTTCAAGCGACTCAATTCGAGTCAAAGCAGGGTTAATTTCATTATAAGTTTAGGGCAGTAAATAGCCAACTTGTTATGGACTCCAATTCAGTTTTAATGAAGGGATGTGTTCCTTATTTTAAGCCAACCAGGAACATCTGGAAAGAACAAGTATTGAATAAGTGGCATTAATAAGATAATTGTGACATCTCATATGAAGGGTAAATGGTTTACAATTATCTCTCTCAACAAGTGAAGTGATCATGATCCTTTTTGATAATCCATGCGATTATAGGTATTATTACTTTTCCTTGGTGAAATTTAGACTCCTTTTTTTGGAATTTAAAAAAATAAGGTATTGTGACCATTTATCTTTGGGTGAGAAGTGAAGTGATCATGATCCTTTTTTATAATCCATGCGATTATAGGTATTATTACTTTTCCTTCGTGAAATTTAGACTCATTTTTTTGGAATTTTAAAAAATAAGGATTGTGACCCTTTATCTTTGGGTGAGGGTTGTATAAGGTGTCAATTGAAGTAAAGTGCTCCTCAAAACCATGTTGAAAATGCAGAGTTGTTATGCCTTGCAAGGATATAAAAATATATTGTTGCCCCCAATTAAGAATTTAAAGTTCTAACGATCAAACAAATATTAAAATCTTGAAATTAGACAGTCTAGATAATTTGTTAGAAGGAACAATTTTTAAGACTAGAAATTCCATGTTTTCATGTCTATGAATCTCGAAGCTGAGATGATCGATTTGAGGATTTTCAAGCAAAAGAAAAACCTCTATAGTGGATTTTTTAGATGCAACTTATTAGTACAATATATATTTGATAACTTATATAAACTTTTTTCCTATTTTTTTTTGTACGTAGAGGTCATCACAATTTCCACTCATTAGATTTCAAATTAGAAGACTTGGGTGAATCACAAAGTCTTGATAAAAAAAATTTGAGAACTTTGTGTCAATTTGATGACACTCTTACAATTACCCATTTTAAAATTTAAAGGACAATAATGATTGTGACCTTTATATACAAAATATATATTCAATAATAAAATAATCCGCTATCGCCAAGTTTCAAGGCATTTTGTGCAACTTCATTCCTTTTAAACTATTTTCTTATGTATCTTTCACATTTGTGTAATGAAGTATGGGTCCCAAATTTGAACTCAATCCAATATGTAAGAAAAAATTTAAACTAAAATACAACATACACTCTCAAAAAATTACTAGCATAAAAATATCACATACATGAGACTTTTTTAAAAAAGATTATATACTATGTGACTATTTATCTACAAGGAGGTCACAATGACTAGATGTCAAATTGGATGGCTTGAAATATTTCATGAAGTTTCAGAAAAAATTTTGAACTTTCGAGTCTAGTCTTACAACCATCCGTTTTAAATCTGATGGACAAGAGTAATTGTGACCTTCTTGTATGAAAAGTACATAGTCTCTTTGTATACTTTTCCTTTTTTAAATCCTGGATTTTTCTTTCAATTTCCCTATAATTTACAATATCCATTCAATATAAAACATTAAGAAGTCCTACACAAAAGTATATTTGCTTGTCATTAAGAATGGAAAGTAAAGAAATCCATGTAACCCCTACACATACAATATACAAAAATATGTACCCTTTTCATTAGAAGCAGATAATAACAACCATGTAGACCAGTTCTTACTTTGAATTTTGGGCAGCACAAAAAGCTGACCAGTCTATTTGTACAAAGATTCAATTACCCGTTGGGTCGTGGCTCTCAATGTCTGAACTCAAAGAACCCCTTCTTCTTTATCTATTAACCTGTACAAGACCAGAGAGAATGAACAATAAAAAGAAATGCTCAAAATTACGGATTCCTATAGGATGAGAACAATTGGATTTTGGATCAATAACTCACACCGCTGTGGGAATCAGTTTTCAAATCTGATGGCTTGGGAATTTTTACAAAAAGAAAAATGTGCTTATTGTATACAGTTCAGGGAGGAAAAGAGGAGACAAATTTCATAAACATATAGACAGTTAAAATCTTAGTGACAATTATTGAAATCATGATATTACCACTAAGGAATTTTATCAAGATATTGTCAGCTAGGTCTTTTTGCACATATGTATCAGAATTTTGTCAGCAATTCAGATCATTGGAATAATATCAGCTTGTGCAATAGGTGTATATTCCCAATATATTGTTTATTTTGCCAAAAGAGTACATTAGCTTCCTCGGGGAGAACACTAGCTATGAGTATTTTTAGGACCTCAAATTTGGGGATGTAACTTCTGAACCTTGCAATCAACTTAAGAAAGAAATCAATTTATATATATAGCTCAGAAAAAAAAAAGACACCCTAGGAATGAACAGAAGCCATGCAATTTTTGGACAATTACATCTAAATGTTTAGGAACTCAAAATCCTTTTCTTTATAGAATACTCATATGATGATTCTAATGTGCACACCAAACTTTCACATCAAAAAAATACTCCTTAGTACATATTCAGCCAGAGGGAGTGTATGTATAGCACAGGGGCGAGTGTAGCTAAGGCAAGTTCTTTAAATTGGGCCTTTTTAACTGTACAAAACAAAAAAAACCAAGGTGCGCTCATTCTATAAATTTCCTTAAGCAAAAGAGGAAACAAATACAACAAACAGACATCTAGCTGAGTTAAAAAAATGACACCTTTTAATGTGATCTTGAACTCCATGGATCAATCATGGGGGCCATGTGAGGTTCAACACCAAATTGAGGCTGTGGTGCATGGTTCTTCAAGAGTGGGAGTCTTGCAGGAGTGTAGTCATCATCGCTATCGTAGTCTCTCCTTGGATGAGGACCAACGGCTCTAAGGATCATTGCCAAGAATATGGATAGTGCCTGGCCAAGATGAAGTGGTATAACAGTCAGATGAGGAAACTAAGGCATTGACAACTTAATATTCACAAATGGAGATCGTTTACGAAGACTGGAAACCCTTATTTGTATCGCCACACAAAATTTATATATGTCTGCGGACCAACAACTTGTGATCTCGATCAGATAGTTGGTATTGAGCTGACAACAATATCACAAACTATCACTAGTTGTTTTTATTATCCTATAACTAATATGTGACATAACTGTTGGCCAACCATCTGATTAAAAGATTAGGCGGTTATTCGTCCCAGCCATATATAAATTATACGCATATGGAGACGCATAGAAAGTTCGCTCTTCCAATAAATGCGCCTGCAACTGGGTCGTTTACCTAAGAGGACAATTTTTTTCTTTATTTTTTAAATACTTTAAATTGACATACTAATGATTGACATTCATTAAATAAATGGATCACAAGCATTGCGATTTAAAAATATTTAAAAGAAAGGAGACCAGAGTAACATACCTGCGCAACCAGAACCACCAAGCCAACCCATTTGCACATTTCAAAGTTGGTTCTCACAAAGTTCTTGAATTCATTAAATTTCCCAGTTGGGTCCTCTGGGAAATCCTACAATTGTCAAGCCAATTGAAATAGACAGCAGGTTAGGGCATATCGACACAAAAGAATAACCACCCTCCCTCTCCCAATAGAAGCATCATCGGCTAAAGATGAAGAGCTCAAAACCATTAAAAGTTAAGAGATATGGGTGCTCATCAAAACAAAAGATACATCTCTCTCTCTCTCTCAAAATAATAGCAACTTCATAGGCTAAAATGTTTGGGTCGGTCAATAAAAGCTCCCTCTCAATAATAGGAATTTCATAGGCTAAAATGTATGGGTCTGTCAATAAAATCATGCTCATAGTGTCCTAATTTTAATTTCAGAAACATTTAAGGGAGGTTGAGGGCAAATGGGATATGATAATAAACAAGGATCCTAAAAGCATATGGTGTTATACTAAATAAATTCACGTGGATTAAATTAAATTAGGTATTGTTAACGAAATAGGGAACCTAATTTACAGAAGGATCATATGAGTATTTAAAACAAACAGTTGAAATGTGTATGTTAACTAACATTCAATGCGAACAATATGAAATTGAAATCTAAAATTCACTGTAAAAGTACCATTATTAACTGATGCAACTGCATGTAATAGGAAGTAGGAATTAAGAGGACTCATTAAGGTCTAAGATGGTTTTATTTTAAAAAAATTTAAAATCAGGGTTTAGAAACTCTGCGCTTGACTCGACTTACCCGAGTTACTAAAAATCCAGACTCCAATGATTTGAGTCTGGCAGAGTTTGCCCGAGTCTCTCTGAGTCTTCAAAAAAACTCCAGTAAATATTCTAAGTAAGATTTTTTAAGACTTGACTTGGGACACGCTGAGCCAATTAGACCCAGAAGTGGCCAAGTTCCAGATTGAGTCCAAGGTTTAAAACACTGTTGAAGACATTTAACTTGATGGAAGTGATAGGTCATTTCCAGAGATGAATGGGAGGGAGCGTGTGGACATTGTGAGAGAATTTCATACGATTTTGACATTATGACAATTAACCAAGCTGATAAATTTTGATGGACACACACGCAAACACACAGTGGGTCCTCAAATCATGAATTCAATGCTTTTACCTCTTCCCAGTCCTTATTGATAAATATGTCTGCAATAATCCCAGCCTCAAATAGGAAGAGCAAGAAGACAAATACCATGTACTAAAAGAGTTAAGTTAGACAAAAACCAGTAGTTGTTAACAGTTACCTAAATATCATATTCTAGAACTGAGATAAATTGAGAAACAAATTCAAAACTTTTTTTTGGCCAGAAAACTTCAGAATCCTCCAATATAATATGCCCACAATATTATCTTCATGATTTATCACAAAACATAAAGCCATGATATAAATGCGAAATCAAGGAAGATGTGAAACTACTTTCAGGAATTTGAAAGAAGTCGTATCATCAAGACAACTCTCATATCTTATCCATTAGAAAATAAGGGTCGCTACTGGCTGTGGACTCTTTTCGAAGTACTATTGATTTAGGCAGGTTTGAAGAATCTATTATCCATGACATAAACTTTCCCATATGACAGGTAGAAGAGGTGTGGGAGATGGGAAGGTGTTCTTATAATTTATAAAAGTTGGAACACAGGAGTTGAGTGACGAATAGATATCTCACTCAGACACACAATTAAAATAATTATGTTTACAATGGCATTAATTAACTGAAGGCAAAATTGGTTGAAATAGGCAAATACACATATGAAGGCACAAGAAGAGAAAAATACAACAAGCAAATGGACAATCTCTAGAATAAAATGAAAAACATTGCTTTCACTATAACTAAGGAGAGGCTTGTAACCTACGTAATTAAAGACATTATGGAAAGTTGATCTTGCAATGAACTTGTTTAAGGCCTATCCTTAAACAAACTAACTAACTTTACTGCATCTAGTATTTTTTTTTTCCTTTTGATGCAAGACATTTATTGGTATTCAAAACACAGTCCAGGGTTTAAGAGTGTAGAGAAAGGAGGGCTCCAGACATAATAACCACTCATATCAGCTCCAAGTTGAGAGTCTCCTTCACAATTAGCTGTCACAAAAACATTGATAAACAAGAGACCTTAGAAAGCAGGGACTTACTTCCATAAGCTCAAAATGACCCCTAGAAACCCCATTTTATCAAAATTTCAGTTTTTAATTGGCCTCAAAATGCAAGTGTTGGGATGACACCTCCACAGAGGGAAAATAATATCTCCAACCTCCTCTCCTATATTTGCAGACTTCCATGGTTTAGGGATGACCATCTAATCCCTTCAAGCACGTAAAAACAAAAACATTCAACAATCACAATGACAAAGAAAGAGGTAATTCTAAAACAATTATGCACCATCCCAGCCTCTTCTTATGTGGAGCTTGCTACTTCAATAGGACCCACAAAGGTCTTCTTCACCACATCAAACTCAAGCCTTCGGCTTCCTGCAAAAGATGCTTATTGAAAGATCAAATTGTCGATTTTGAGTGTCAACAATCCCATACAGTTGACCTTGGTATTTCCTTTACTCTCCAAGGCATGCTTCAATACTTGCAAGTGTCCACCATGCAGATACTTGGTCCTAAACATCACTTTCCTTAATATCCTATCTAGCAGAGCCTAGAAGATTCTAATTATCAATATGATCTTCACCAGCAGCTTTCCAGCGATAATTTGAAATTCTGTAATTTTTCTCCTGATATCTTCCCACATTTTAAGGGGGTAAACAGGTCGGATCCATAGACATTAGTAGTGTACCGGGACTTCGCTGAGTCCACTTAGACTCGGCCTTGCCCTATGGGCGAGACGAGTTTTTCCCGAGTATATTGTACACTTATTTTTGTAGGTCTATATATAGTACTGTGGCGATTCTAATCCAAACATTCAAATGGCACATTAACCCAAGACCTCTTGCGAAGAGGCCTCCAAAGAGGCAGACAGCTAACCAACACGATGTTTGACATCCGCTGCAGCAAAGGGAAGGTTATATATATATATATATATATATGAAAAAGCTGGGATTAGCCCACTAGCTCATATAAACATATGAGCCCAACGGCCCAGATTGAATATAGGCCGATCTGACGGTCACAACCTCATTTCGTGTTTGAATTTTAATTTTTTTTTATACAAATCCAAATCATTTGAAATTTTAGGTGTGTATTCTTCTCATCAAGGC